GACCAGACTGGAAACAACTATCTAGTATTCCACTGAAGACTTCATCATAGCCATGATGGCGCATCAAATCACAAGCAATGGAAAGCAATTGGAAAGGAGGGGTGTTTTTCCCTCTGATTTGTATTAAATCATTCACTTTTTTGACAAAAGCAATATTTGGCTTGCAATCCATGAGTAGGTAAGCATTAACTAATCTAAAACCACCATCACTTTTGATATCTTGTGCATCAGCCACAAAGTTATCAATAACTTTCAAAAGCATTTCATGATCAGAATAACACATGATACTAAACTGCCATGTAATATCAATCTGGTGTTTCAATGGCAACAAAGATACGTGCTCCTTAAATACTTCTGCAAGTTCTGTAACATAATGTACATATATGAAATCCTTATTCAACTTCTGGTTTCGTGCTAACTCCAACATCCAGTAAATGCAGAAATATGCACGTGTCTTGTATTCTCTAGTTCCATCAGAAAGCAGGATCTCAAACACCTTCCATAAAATGTCAGAGGGCACCAAATATTCAACAATATAACAGAGTTGGACATACCTGTACACTTCTCTCGGCTCATTGAATTTAATGTTGAATTTCAGCGCTTGTAAAAATTGACTTACATCATTTTTATCCACCCACTTTCCATCCAGTGCACAAGAATAGTGTGTTGCAGATTCTAGAACACTAACAAGCCGGTGAATTTCTTTGCCTTCAAGTTTCTTCCTCTTTAGCTTTGCCTCACTCATCAAATGCTTCAAGAAAAATCTTATCTCCTCTTCAAAGTACTTTTGCTCGTGTAGTATAGACAGGTGAAACCATTTATGACAGACATCGCTCCTAGACTCAACATGCCATCCGGACCATACCTGTGACATGTGTCTCTCCAGTTTCTTATAAAACTGAAGGATTCCTGGAGACGGTTGAATTGTGAGCCCAACTACCAACAATCTGTTTAACTGGGGAGGATCACTTCCCTTCATTAAACCTTTGTTGAGGATGGTTTGCAGGGCTGATGATAACCTGTCATCTTGTAGAAGATGGACGTTTTCATATCTTGGCGAATCCCTCAAACATGTAAGACTAACAGCATACATATACCGTAGAACTCCGTCGAGGTCATTTTCAGCATTACTAACTCCGCTCTCGTAAGCACTAATAATCTTCGGAATAATCTCCGCTACACTCCTTCCATCTTCCTTGAGATACTCCTCCGCATCACTTTCAAATTCATTTTTCTTGTATATGATGAGGTCGTTATATTCATCTTCTGTGATAAATTTTGTAGAATATGACAGCTCAGTTCCGGCGGTAAGTCTCCACAACGACCAACCCCACATCTTGTGAGGCCTTCGGAGTTGTGAGACGGCACATGTAAACCGCAGCGATTGATGACATCCTAAGGGTTGTGTAAAACACTGAGTTATTCTACCTATTAAATCGCGTCTTCGGTAGACATATCTCACTGCTGAATAAAACATAATTAAACGATTAAAATGTTCCCATCACTGAACGCGTTCACGTCCTCCACGAGGCGGTTGATGCAAGTAGGTCGTAATCTGATAGGCTGAAGTTTGAAAGATGTTGTTTAACTCCCACATCACGCGGATGGAAGGTAAATTCAGAACTAATATAATGGAGTATTTTGCCATCGGAATCCGCGGAGTTCCTTACACGAAACCTGCACAAGAAAACGGTGTTCAGTTTCAAACACCCGCACTAAGTAATGCAAGGATACAACTCGTAGGGTAAAACATGGTGGTGCTTAGGACGCATTGTCCAATCATAGGACGCAATTGGACGTAATCTGCATATGCATGAATCAAACTGTGACCTAATTTCACCCAATGCATAATCTGGGTCACTAGCCTCACGTTTTACTACAGCTCAGTCTTTACTACTAAGTCCAACGTTCATTGCATAACAATCACCGATGGGATGACAGTGAACGTTCTATTTAAAATGATTCTTTTAGAATAATATGCTTATAAATAATTTAATAAGATAAAACAGACGCTTTGTTAAAAAGATTTTATTATAAAATAAAAATATGGTATTAAAGGGACCAAAACAATGGGGCAATAATTCTACATGTATGTAATAATTCTATACTGAAGTTTTACTCTAACATTTTCATGCTAAATTCATTTAATATTTATAAGTAAACCACATAAAAGATTCAATTAGGACAAACATATGTGTACGTACTTGGGAGTTTATCTTAATGATACATGTTCATATACAGAAAAGAGAATACTGTATATTCTAAGAGTATATTACAAGTACTGGGAGTTCCATTCGTATTTAAATCTCATTGTAAAAATTAAGTCACAGCAAAATACCTTAATTATTATAATAATCATAGCCTACATGCTGATGTTGATTTTTTATAAGTATGTTAAATTCAGGACTATCTCTTGTAATCGCTGAGTCTTGGTATTTGTCTTTTATTAGCAAAGATAACTAGAGGATCAGAGAGGCGATACGCGGATTCCGGTGGCAAAATACTCTTTAATATAAGTTATGGATTGATCCGCGTGATGTGGGAGTTAAACAACATATCTCAGGCTTCAGATTACGGCCTAAAGCTCTACAGGACAGATGCAAAATGGCGGAAAACGGCATCTCAGATCACAAGGGAAAAATGATTGAGGAAAACGACATCTAAGGCCAAGCGTGAAAAAAAAAAGATTAAAACTGAACTAGAGGTCAGAGAGTTAAAGATCATAAAATCCCCCTTTCAATGCAATCTTCACCAGAATAAGTAAAACCTGCATCTTTTATATCGTTTTAGAACTAGTTGTAAGTGAGAACTTGAGTAAATTACAACCTATTATCCCTTTTCAATTAAGTTCTGTATTTATAGTCTTTACCGCTGAGAGTGAAATTGGCCGATCTGTGTCTTTCACTATGAAACTTTACGCTGATTTATTGTGATCATTATATTTTGGCTGAAACTACAAGAAAAAATAGTTAGGGCCCTGTACTGTAGGGGGGGGGGGGGGTAGTTTGCAGGTACCCACCAATAGTATTAAAGTAAAAAAATATTGGAGAGGGGTGGGGGTCCTTAGATACTGGTTACCTTTTCCTTTGTCCAAGTTCATCAGAAATCTCTCACATTTGTCTTCAGTCAGAATCTAGCTCAGTATCACTGGCTGTTCAATAACGTGCTTCCATATTGTGCAATCCTTCAACACCCCCATATAATAATTATTTTTCTCAACATACGACACTGACACGTAATTCAGCAATTAATTAACTCTACTGAAACAATTTTATTTTTCACTGAAAAAGAGCGTCCAGCACTGCTTAGCCGAATTAGAAAATCATCATCTCTATACTTTGTTAAAAAATTCCGCTAACTTGAAACCCATCTTTTTGCAAATTACCTTAGAAATAATTTATATCTGAGGTTCACCTTGTAATTCAATTTTCTGTCATTAATAATACCAGTGTCGCAGTCAATGCTGAGTTGTAGGCTACATCATAATCTAGGGAGCGCCCCCTAGGGGGTACACCTCTGCTAGGGAAATGTAATTACTGCCGGGGAGAGAAGATATTATTGACAGACTCAGAGGCAGAATGTATTACCGACAATGTTCTACCAAAATGTCCTCTGAAAAATGTGCTCTTAGATGGCAATACATTCTTAGCTGTATTGGATTGTAATTGTGATGATAGAGAAGAGTTATCTAAAATACTGCTGGATTTTTAAATTCAATTAAAATTGCAAATAAAACTAAGGATATAGCACGACGGTTTTAGTTAAAGGTAATTAAAGTCCAAGAGTCCAATGTACCATAAATAAATGTGAGTATATGAGACGAATGTGACCTGTACAAAGTAATGGGGAACGGACTTTGGTTCCTAGCGGACTACCATTACTATTACACCGGGTGATTTGTATATTTTTATATGAATATTCACATGTCATGTAAATAAATAAATATTTTTTTTTTATTTCATCACATCACAGGGTTTCACATTCTTTGGGATACAAATGTACAAAGAACTCACAAATATGGCATTATATGGTTAAGATTTGCACAAATGTCATTGGAATATACATGTAGTTGCTATAACAATCAGCAGATAACAATGATAATTATTATAATATTCATAAAATCAATCATTATCATTTTTAATAGAAAGAAAAATATTATACTCCAGAACTTTTAAAAATTCGAAATTTCCCGCTCTTTGCTATCCGTGATGGCAGGCATGGAATAGTTTTTTCCATCTTTGCGGTAATAAATGTCTACATTTATTTAAGGTGACCTACTCTGTATTTCCTAGAAAGTTACAAAAGGATGGAGATGATTACGATCTTGGGAAGATTTATTTCCCTTACGGAGCCCGGAAATGTGTCATTATGGCACCAATCCAATCCGTCATCCGTGATGGCCCAGGAGATGGGTCGATTTATCTTTGTGTATTTCTTATGATCTGTTTATGATTTGACTTTTGAGATTAGAATATTCCGATGATGATGATTGCGACGGGAATAGTGTGTGCGTGTGTTTGTGCATGCATGTGTGTGTGCGCGAGTGTGTGTGTGAGAGGTGATGGTGAGAGGAGAGGAGAGAGAAGACTCACGTATTTGAGTACAGGGCAATTAAAAATAAATTACGAGTAACGGAATGTATCTATATCTCACCCTCCCCTTCTTATTTATTTATTTATTTATTTTATTTATTTATTTTGACGTTGATGACACTAAGGCTGCCCTCTCAGAAGGTCGCATGCCGCAGAACGGGAATCTATCCTACAACTAATCCATTCGCTGGAATCAAAAATCATTCTTGTGTGATTAATTGATCGCGGTTAACACGTTCACCTGTGTGGCTTAAACAAACGCTGTGCATGAATATATATTATTACGGTCGACATTTAACTGCTTCTTGCACGAGATTCTACCAGCACAGAAGTATGAAGATTTGGTTTGTTGATCACCCAGTTCTTCTCGCGCTGTAAAATCTCCTCGGGTCCAATAACAAGGTAAGAAAAACGCCATGATTGCAGCAGAGCAGGGACATCGCTGGTAGACCGTACGTGAAACTGTGAAGTCACGTTCACGTTCGTGCATGTGTTGGCGTTAATGATCATTTTCTGTCAGTTGAAACTGTGTATACATATTCCAGCCTGTTTATATGGTATTGCTTCACTGCAAATAATTCAAACATTAATTATTTCCTTACTCTGCGTACAAACCTATCACATAGGCCCCTACTGATTGTTAATTATTTTATAAATGACCAGCGGTCACTGTCTTAAGTAGAACGCTATATGAAGTCAACAGGTGAAAGAGGACAGGAGTTTAAAAGTATATGCGAGTTTTTCTGCACAATTTGTGGATTCTTTTCTCTTAGAAGTCCAGCGTTTTGGGATAAGTTTAACCGTGGTCATGGGCTAATCCCCACTGACGCTATCGGTCTACGTAAATGGATCCAACTCCGCGGAGACTCTTGCTGAATGCAGTCAGAATTGCAGACTACGGCTCCCCCTGGTGTTGAGCATAATACTGAAAAGCTATTGATCATACACAGGGGCGGATCCAGATATATTTTCTGACAGTCTTCCAAATTATCTCTGTTAATTCGTCCTCAATTTCTGACCGTCTTCCGACAGAAAATATAAGATACCCGTCAATGTAAACTTAAAAATCTGACCGTCTTCCGGAAGACCCAGAAGACGGCCTAAATCCGCCCCTGATACATGTAGGAGCATGTTGGGTCGATATACATAAACTGATTGTTTCAATGGTAATGAGCCCTTACACGTTCACCTGTCAAGCACTGGTAAATAATGGCTATAAAACATCTGCATCATGTTTTTTAAGTCTGTATTTTTAACTCTGTATTGGAAGTAATTTGCTACAATATGTTCTCAGGTTATGTTTCTACGGGTCAGAGTTGAGCAATACTCCACCTGTAAAAAGACGTCGTGATATTATACCGCCTAATTTACGTCATCGGCTTCACTTACCTACAGGTGTAAGGGCACGATCCCATTGAAACTATCGCTCCACGTCGATTGATCCAACTCCCTGGGTACTTTTGCTGATTGCAATCAGTTTAACTGAATGACACGCCTCCTCGAGCAGCTAAGGGATGATAGACTTTCTTGGGTGGTCAGCTTCTGAAAGCTTTTATGCTTCGTTTTGAGCGCGCCCCCTTTTAGTCCCAGCCATCTTGTTAAATCACTAGCTTTTGGGGAGCTCTTTTCATCTGATAAGATTCGGCAAAAGTCCCTGCAGAGCTGGATCAATCAACGTAGAATGATTGTTTAATTGTTAATGGGCTCTTAGACTGGGTTCCAATACCTAGTTCGATCTAACTGCTAGGGGGTTATCAATTATCGCTTAACAGCTTCAGTGGGCGTGAAGGACATCTAAGCCGCTTAAGCTGAAAGCAATTTAGCGATACACTCCTTGGAGATGGATCGATCCTGTAGGATCGATCTAGGTATGGGAACCCAGTCTAAGTCCCTTAGACCGCAATTACATCGAGTTGACATCCTGCAACAGTTTGTGAGTTTTTTTATTTCTTATTGTTGTCCAACCTGAAAGGCAAGTTAAAGTACAAATGTGGTCACTTTTCCTTTTCCAAGTTTACAACCTATGTATTTCATTTTCGCGGTCGGCGTAATCCAGATAATACACGGCAACTGCATGAGTGTCATGGCGTCCTATATCCTTCCCTTCTTGCCCGTTCTTCACGACATTTAGGGACCATTCCCACTGGTATTTGGATCGATCTATCTCCCTGGGGAGTCTCACTAAGTTGCTATGAACTTATCCGGCTTAAATGTCTGTCACACCTAGTAAAGCTGTTAGGGGGTAATTATCTTTACCCCCTAGCTGATTCGGTAGGTGTGACAGACATTTAAGTCGATTAAGTTGATAGCAATTTAGTGAGACTCTTCAGGGAGTTCGACCCATCCAGATGGATCGATCTAGGCATGGGAACCCATTCTTAGATGCCTTAAGCATGCTTTGGGTCGACACTCAGGTCCCTATGTCACGCAGTAGCTTGATGACGTCAGCGGGCCTAGTTTCCGTTTAAGAAAGCGCAGTTAAAATTAGTTTTACACGCTAAGCAAATGATTAAGAGTGCCTCTAAATCATTGCATTCACAGGGGATACTTAATATGGGATATACCCGTATTTTCCACATTCGTCGTTCAGCAGGTTTAGCATGGTGGCGGCTCTGTAATTTTCAGGAAGCGATACATGGAGCTAGCTGTGACTTAAAGCAAACGTTGAGCACGATATCTTTATATAACATATTTTTTCCATGAAATTTCAACACGTTCACCCTCTATCGCCAATGTTCACTATATCCAAAACCGTTCATAGTATAGGTGATTTTAGGACAAGTACTCCAGGAAAATTCTCTCTGCTTTTGAATTCTCTATGTGAGGTATTTATGTATTTCTTGAAACTTTTGCTGAATAATAAGAAAGAATACAGAAAAATGGTTTACTGTATGCACATTACAAGATTCAGGACGCTTACTTATGTGAGGTGATCTTAATTAATAAATGCCATTGAAACAAATTTTGCAAATTTGCCCTTACATGCCATAATTAATCAGGCAAATGTCATCATTTTTTCTTTTTCAATTTTTCTAAACATAAAAATATGTCTCTTTTTTTCTGCATTCCATTTTATGTAAGTGAGTTTTGTGCATATCAATTTAAGTAAATGAAAATTATGAAATCGCAAAAGCAAACTTACGAAAAAGCAAACTAGATTCGAAAGTTGTTGCTTATTTATATCAGTAGGTAGTGGTTGACCATTCAAAAGTGATAGCCAGTTCACCAAAGGGATGCCCGGATGTATGAGACTTGGACCCCCTTTCCATAGATTTTACATCGATCTATCCCTGTGGGGAGTCTCACAAGATTACTGTCAGCTTAGCCGGCTTAAGCGTCTGTCCCGCCTACTGAAAGCTGTAAGGGGGTAATTAGCTATGGTGCGCGCTCGGCTGACTGCAATTTAGCGTGAACCCCCAGGGAGTTAGGTCGATCTAAATCTTAATCTCTGGATCGATCTAAATCTCTGGGAATACACCCTTGCTGTAATCACACTTCGCCCTGCATGAGTTGTCAAATATCACTCAGTAACAGAGTCACTGTAGGTAGAGACTATTTAAGGTTGAGCCTCTTGTCTTAGATGGACATATTTTCAAGATGAACAGCACGATATTGTATGTACTACACGTTTTGTGAGTTTGCAGCAAATTGGCAATAACGGTTCTTGTGAGTTTGCCGGAAAATCTGAAACTCAATCTGCCGTGGGTTCCTCTTTATCGTGCTTATTAAGTGTGCGTGAAGTTTGTAGGAAATATGTTGAGAGTTAATAAAATACTTTATACGTTTGCATGGTAAATTTCCCCTTGCAGATAGGATGCAAATTTACAGCAACAGTTTTCAGCAAATCCTACAGAACACCAATATTAATGATTCTTCATCTTCTTTGAAAATATTGTTTATCAGCAATGAATAGGATATGAGTTTTTGTTCGAAATGTGACAAACATTCTCCAGATATAATAACAATTATCTTAAAGAAATTGTTTTTTTTTTAATTTTTTTATTTGTTAAAGCAAATGAGCAGGGTGATTGTGATTTTAATTTTTCTTGAAAACGTTAGGAAACACTGAGAAATTCTGATATTGAGTATTATGTCCGTTTTCATATTACCCCGTTAACGCGTACATGTACACCTTGTTTCCCCGTAAAATTGAACATTCCCCGTCATTTCAAAGTTAAAGGGATAATAACTCTTTGTTTTGGCCAAAAAATGAATTTTCCTGGAGTAAACAATATTTTCCCCATACTTACCAATGGTTAATGAATCCATTTTTACATTCAAAGTTAGTCCCTGTTTTTTTTCTTAAAAGTTTGGCTTTTGTTAAAATCTCTTAAGAGATTATAACAGAGTATACCCATCCATGGAAGTCACGTGGTCTGAAGACAAGCTCAGATCAGAATAATAGCTGTAACCGCTGTTTTCGTCGTAAAACAGAATATATTACATTTCTAGGAGTTATTCACAATGTTTTTATTGTGAGATATAGACCTCATACGAAGAGTTATTATCCCTTTAAATGGCCAAAAAATTAACCTGACTCTCACCGCCCCGAGCAGAAGACCCGAGACAATACCCACAAATAAATAAATAAATAAATAAATAAATAAATAAGAAGTGAGGGTTTGTGCAATCCTATTTCAGTGACATACATGTAATTCATAAGATTCCAGTTATATTTTTCACCAAAATGACGAGATTGACAGAATACTTGAGTGTTAACCTTTTTTCAAACAGAATTAATACAGAGATACTCAATTTGCACCTCTGGTCTTTCTCACACTCTTTATGTGACGTCAAAGGCTCGATTACCGTCAAAACAGAGAATTGTTTAAAATAAGCTTAGCAATAGCCGTGTGTTCCATAAAGGTCATCTATCAGAACAGATTATCGATTCCTAATTCGCTGTCAGCAAACTATGATTTGTCGTCTCGGTCGAGTAACTGGAACACCTGCAAATTGAATACATTTTGTCAGCCTCTGTCCATCAAATAATGCATAGAATCGAGTTAGCGGCAGGAAATGGTCAAGAAATCCACCGATACATCTCAATTTTTTTCCTGAGGTCGACAACAAAGCAGTGCACTCTGAACCAAACCAGGAACTCAAGAGCCGAGTCAGAATGAATGACGTTACCAAGGCATGAATTAAATATCTTGATATCGCTTCACCGTCATTATTTTTCCGTCTACATTCAAAGATTCTGTCGTGGTGAGAGAGCTGGAGATTTGGTTTACATCGTTCAGTCCTTCGTTCAGCGGTTTGGTTGACAAACGTCCATGTCGTGCTGCGCTGTATATTAGAGAGGTACCTGTCGTAGCGCCTACTGCTGCGACGCCGAAAATAAAGGCCTCGAGACGTCCTGGGTGAGTAATGTGGGAGAGGGGGCGGGGGGGATGGCGTGAAATTTGGAACAATACATAGGTTTAGCAAACAACAAAGTAGGATGAAAAAG